CATCACTGAGTAAGTAATTCTTTCTGAACACAGCCGTGGCAGCAGCTCATATCACAGGAAGCCCTTGCTAAGGTAAAATCCCCGAAAGGGCTGCGTCTCCTCTCGGTTCACCCGGCGCTTGCCCTTGCCCGCCCACCCTCACTCGGCCTCCGCATTGTCTCCCAAAACATTTCTCAGAATATGCTTCCCCAGACATCTCTCACAAGGGTGTTTGCAGATTCCCAGGACCCTGAGAACGACTTTTTCCTTTAACTAATTCTTATACCCAGGAAGTCCCAGAGACAATGGTGTAGACGAGTGACTCCCAATGGCTGTTGAAGGAAAGTGGGGGAGGTGGAGGGCTGGCAGGGAGGGAAGGCAGCAGGCAACTCGGGATCTGGGGAGAGGGGGACATGAGTGGTTTTAAAAACATTCAGCATGGGAATCCAGGCTACATTTGAGAAACAGGCATCGAAATCCAATTATTTAATCGAACAAACTGTAGCAGGCAAAACTTCAGGAAAACCTCCTGCAGGCCTAGTGACCTGCGCTCTCCCCGGGAACTTCCGCTCCTGACTCCAGGCCAGGATTTCCAGAGAACCTTGAGGCTCTTCCCGTTCATTGAAAGGGGATGTGGCTTTTTAAAAGGTAGAAACCCGGGTCCTCAACCGCAATTCCCAAACCTGCCGACCCAAGTCTCGCCTCTACTTTTTGCTCATTCCATGCCCTGGTTTTGGAATCAATGATATCGCCTGAAGGCTGTGGCCGGATCTGCACGATTCGTGGCCAGCTTCTACTGCGCTCTTTTTCCCCAGCCCTTCCCATCTCTGCCACTCTGGCCACAGCGGTATCACTGTAACATCCGCAAAGGGCTGAGTGGAAGCCCAGGTCTCCTCACCAAAGCCCTCCTGGTCAGTGAGGCACTGAGGCCAGAGTCTGTGGCTGCGAAGAGCAGGCTGACTTCTCTGGCATGGAGGAGATGCTGAATATTATTTCTTGAATAAAAGATGGTCACCTGCTATTTTGTTATTATCACCTGACCAATTCTGTGCCTGCCTGCTCTGATGGTTCAGTGCAGTTACGATGCTTTGTCTCTAGCTAATTCCTTCAACCATTAGAATCAAAGTAGTAGTTTTTTCACCCATCCATCCATTTATTCACTCATTCATGCACTTGAACCTTAGAAGATAAGGAGGAACAGCTTTGCCTAATGACTAGGAATGTGGAGGCAGGCAGACCTGACTAATTCAGACTCAGGCTGTGTACAGGTTAACTTCCCCGAGCTTCAGTTTCCTCATCTGTAAAATGGGGATAATGACAGCTCCTACTTAATGGTATTGTTGCAGGGATTAAAAGGATATGGCAAGTGCTTAACAGTCACCTTGCATTATTATTTCAGACACTATGCTAGAAAAAGGGGTGTATAAAAAGCACATGAAAACAGGGCTTCTGGCTAGTATTTGGCAGTAAAAGCTGGTCTGAATCAGCAGAGGGCTGGGCAGGTGGGCATGACTGAATAGATAAGAACCCTTTGTAACCACCCACATCCATTTCTATGTAATCACTGTACAAAGTTCTTGAAAGGCTGGGCGCGGTGGCTCACGCCTGTAATCCCAGCACTTTGGGAGGCCAAGGCGGGTGGACCACGAAGTCAGGAAATCGAGACCATCCTGGCCAACATGGTGAAAATCGTCTCTACTAAAATACAAAAAATTAGCCAGTTGTGGTAGCACGTGTCTGTAGTCCCAACTACTTGGGAGGCTGAGGCAGGGGAATCGCTTGAACCCAGGAGGTGGAGGTTGCAGTGAGCTGAGATCACGCCATTGCACTCCAGCCTAGGCAACAAGAGCGAAACTCTGTCTCAAAAAAAAAAAAAAAAAAAAAAAAAGTTATTGAAACCAGTTCTTTATCTTGCCTACATCAAATAGCCTTTCCCCACCCTGGATACTACATATACCACAAATTCTTTTGGGAAACAATTTTTCTTTTCAGAGTTAGACCAGAGATAAGTGTCAGCTGCCGCTGAACTCTCATAAAATCCAATTTGGTGGAATCTGAATGAAGTTTGTAAACTTCATAACCCATTATAAAAGATTCTCCTAAACAAACTACCCTATCTAAACCAGCACCCACTCAGCCCTCACCCTGCTGTTTTCTCTCCTTTACCCTGCTTTGTTTTCTTTGTATCACTTATCACCATGTTATGTCATATGTGTATTTATTGATTATCTGTTTACTCAACTGTTAGCTCCATCAAAGATATGGAGTACCCCCAGTGTCTAGAGCTGTGTCTGACATATAGTTGGCATTAGTAAATATTTGCAGCATGAATAAATTAGCTGATACATCATTGAAGATAGTCCAATGACCTTGCAAATTATTTACAGGTTGTAAATCTGCCTCTCCGAAGAGATCACCTGCTAAAGAGCCATCAGAAGATAATTACAGCTCTTGCTTTTATGAGATGCCTTTCCCTTTCAGCCTCTCTGGGTATCTTCCTCCAGGGCTATGGCCCATTCTTCTTTAATCATTCTTATTCTTATTTAAAGATCTTAACAGATAACAGCAGGATTGCAGCAGCTACTTAATCTGCCTTCCCAAAAAGTGCAGGTCAGCCTCTCCGCGTACAGAGACAGCCAGCCCAAACCAGTTCAGTTCTTTTCAGTGTTGCTGCTCTAACACAGAACTAGAAGAAATCAGAACTGAGAATTCTGCTCCACAGTAACAGCTGCTTCTGGATTAGATTTTCCAACAGCCTGAGAAGCTGCTCCAGTGAGAAAGTCCTGCTTCAGCCCATGGGCTATCTAATCCTTCCTCAGCAACCAACCCCAGAACAAGAAGACCACCTTCTCCCTCTGCCTCATTTACATGGGGCAAGGTCGGAAGTGCATCTTCTAACTAGGAGAAAGAAAAGGATTAAAAGCTTAAAGACAAGGTATTGCATATAGTAGGAAATGAAAAACTTCTTATAAGCAATAGCACACTGCCCTACCAAGTTAATTTCATTCCAAACCACAGTTTTTCTGTTTTCTCTAATTTAAAACAAGCTTTGGTCTGCTGGGTGCAGTGGCTCACGCCTGTAATCCCAGCACTCTGGGAGGCCCATGTGGGTGGATCATTTGAGGTCAGTAGTTTGAGACCAGCCTGGCCAACATGATGAAACCCTGCCTCTACTAAAAACACAAAAATTAGCCGGGCATGGTGGTGGGCACCTGTAGTCGCAGCTACCTGGGAGGCTGAGGCAGGAGCATTGCTTGAACCCAGGAGACGGAGGTTGCAGTGAGCGCCATTGCACTCCAGCCTGGGCGACAGAGCGAGACTATCTCAAACACACACACACAGACACACACACACACACACACACACACACACACACACACACACACACACAAGCTTTGCCCAGGGAGTCCCTCCCTCCCTCCCTGTCTCTCTCTGTCTTTCTTTCTTTCTTTCTTTCTTTCAACACAGTCTCCCTCTGTCACCCAGGCTGGAGTGTAATGGCTCAATTTTGGCTCACCGCAAACTTCCCCTCTTGGGTACAAGTGATTCTCCTGCCTCAGCCACCAGAGTAGCTGGGATTACAGGCGCCTGCCATGACACCCGACTAATTTTTGTATTTTTAGTAGAGATGGGATTTCACTTTTTTGGCCAGGCTGGTCTCGAACTCCTGACCTCAAATGATCCATCTGACTCAGCCTCCCAAAGTACTGGGATTACAGGCTTGAGCCACTGTGCCTGGTGGGGAGTTAGTACAATTCACAATATAAGCTAGGTCTTTTCCTTTTTCTAATTCTATAGCCCCCAGAACCACCTCTCACTTTCAAGTTTTAGCACCCTGGCCCTCAGCCTGAACCCATACACACACACACACACACACACACACACACACACACACCCCTTTGGAAGGTCTGGGCTCTGTGTAAGAGGATTTTAAGGTACCTAGATAAAATCTATGTGCTTCCACTTAAAGAGCTGAGTGACCCTACACAATTTAATGAACCTCTTTCAGCCACATTTTTCTCATTTGTGAGTTGAAGATGACTGTCTGACTCATAATTGTTATAAAGATTAAATGCAATTATATGTGAAATAGTTTTAGCATAGTCCCTGACACAAAGTAAGAAAAAAAATTAGCTATTTTGTTGTTCGTCGGGAAACTGAAGTAATTTCCCCTCTTAATTATATCACATTCGCCCTATAGCTAGTATTTATTGAGGAAGTATCACAGTCCCCATTATAAAGATGAAGAAACTTCCCAAGAGTCACCCATCCAACAAGAAGCAAAACTGAAATTCTAACTAATCTCATGATCGCACAGCTGGCCACATGCCCACACATCTTTTGCAAGAACTAGAATACATTTCCTTCTAGGTATATTGTTAGGCTTTTTGTTATCTTCTTACGACACAGCAAAACAGATCCCTTGCTGGGGATTTCTATTCAGAAACTGTTTCTAACTTTGTTCTGCATGTGTGTGGGAGTATATGCAATGGTGGTTTTGCATGCACAAGTACATATATTCGGAGGGCAGAGAGAATACTAGAAATGCAAATTCTTAGAGAGATAATTATGGTCACTTTATTTCAGATATTGTAATTTTCATCTCTAGCCATTCAAGTTAACTTTTTAAATTATCTTTCATGTCTCTACTAACATGCTCAAGAAATCCTCCACCTTCTATAGAATAGAATCTATAGAATTCTAATACTCAGCAGAGCATGGTGACTCATGCCTATGATCCCAGCACTTTGGGAAGCTGAGGCAGGCAGATCACATGAGGCCAGGAGTTCAAGACCAGCCTGGCCAACATGGTGAAACCCTGTCTCTACTAAAAATACATAAATTAGCTGGGCATGGTGGCACATGCCTGTAATCCTAGCTAGTCCAGAGGCTGAGGTAGGAGAATCACTTGAACCTAGAGGTGGAGGTTGTAGTAAGCTGAGATCGTGCCACTGCACTCTAGCCTGGTCAAAAGAGTGAGACCCTGTCTCACAAAAAACACACACAAGTAATTTTTTAAAAAAGAACCATAATACTTGTTTCACTGTCCATGTCTCCTAATGATCGTGTGCCATTTCTGGGTCAGTTTCTACTGACTGTTTTCTCTCTACAATATGGAGGCCAAATACTTCCCTATGAATTACAAGGTGTTTTCCTTTGTTGGTACGAACATAAGCTCTTCTCAGCCCTGCCTCAGGTAGTTTCCTCACTCAGTACTCAGCTGAAGATTCAAGGGAACTTTCTACAAGTCTCTGAAGTGCTCTATCTCTCCTCTCTTCTCTAGTCTTCTCTCTCTCCCTCTCTCTCTCTGTGAGTGTGTGTGTGTGTGTGTGTGTGTGTGTGTGAGTGTGTGTGTCTCCTCTTGGACCACCAGTAACCTTGGCATCTCTAGACTCCCACCTGCATCTCTCTAACTCTGGGATACAACAAGGATCTGCCTGGGTTCCCTTTCCTTGCATTGCAGCCTGGAAACAAATCCCTTAGGCATTAAGCTGGGCACTCACAGGGCTCACCTCATTGATCTCCCATCTCTTAGAGATCACTGTTCTGTGCCAGCAAAGTCCAACATCTGAAAACGACTGTTGCATGTATTTTGTTTTAGTTGTGTCAGGCGGAGGGTAAATCTGGTCCCCTAACATAACGAAACTTCCAAACTATAGTCAATTTAACGATGAGAATTTTGAGGCCTGGAAAGGGTAAGTAACTTGCTCAGGCCACACATTAGTAGAGCTGGGTCTCTAATCAGCTTCTGCCTGACTCCAGAATCCCAGCTTTCAACTACCATGCTCTGCTGCCTTCCTGTGAGCTCTGTCTTGAGTTCCACATCTCGCTACAAAGGGACATGAACTTTGTGGGAGGGGTTTGTTTCTCCGGTGTTCTGACCCCTTTGTATCCTGACCCCTTTGAGGCTTAAACCCAAGTTGGAACTGGAGAGCTGTTCCAGAGAGCCAAGGTGGACAGATTCCATATCGATGGCCCATTACCAGTGAGCTGACATGACAGCTGCAAGGTGCTTTGTAAATGGTCAATGTCATCCATGTAGGAGCATCATAAACTCACTTGTTCACTCATTCATCCAACAAACATTTATTTAGAGCCTACTGTATGCCAGGCGCTGTGCTAAGTGCTGGTGTCACGGCGTTGAACAAGAGTGACATGAAGCTTACTATCCAGTAGATAGAGAACAAATGAATAAGTAAATAGATAAGAACGTTTCAGATGGTGGAGAATGCTGAGCTACATATAGCAGGTGTGTGGACCAGCACATACCCTGAGTACTTGTCTAAAACACAATTCTAACATTTATATGCTCACATAGACTCCTTTCCTATTCTTATGCTCCTATGAGCTCCCTAATAAGAAGGGCTTTGAAGGAAATAAAACAGGGTCATAAGATGGAGAGTGACAGGGAGGGGCTGCTCTAGGTTGGATGATGAGAGATGGTGAGGCCCAGTGACAAGATTTTACATCTATTGCAGTTTGAGGGAAGGAGCATTCCACGCAAAGGGAAAAGCGAATGCAAAAGTCCTACGCGGTACCTCTTTTTTCTCCTGGGCATGTGTGTGCACACATGCACACACACACACACACACACACAGTCTGAAAACTTGTCAGTATATTTCATTTTTACATGTACAGGTTCTTGAGGATGGCACTTTTAGAAACTCAAGGGGAGGGCCAGGATGACAACAGATTGGGGTCCCAGCCTCAGCCCCTCTGAGGCTCAAATCTACTCTATTTCTCGAGGTCACTGCGAAGAGTAAATGACATGCAATATAGTCTCTTCATATATCTTGTCCATTGCTGAATATCGTCATAAGTGACTTACTATTCAATAGCATAAAAATGCTTAAAATTTTTACCCAGGGTGGAGCTTAGGAAAGGTAGCAATACACTGATACTGAGAATTTTTTTTTTTTTTTTTTTTTTTTTGAGACGGAATTTCACTCATGTTACCCAGGCTGGAGTGCAATGGCGCGATCTCGGCTCACCGCAACCTCCGCCTCCTGGGTTCAGGCAATTCTCCTGCCTCAGCCTCCTGAGTAGCTGGGACTACAGGCACACGCCACCATGCCCAGCTAATTTTTTGTATTTTTAGTAGAGACGGGGTTTCACCATGTTGACCAGGATGGTCTCGATCTCTTGACCTCGTGATCCACCCGCCTCGGCCTCCCAAAGTGCTGGGGTTACAGGCTTGAGCCACCGCGCCCGGCCCTGATACTGAGAATTTAAAATGTTTTTTTTTTCTCATAATTAGGAAGAAAAACCACTTCTATTTCAGCAGAGATAACTGATCATTCTACCAACATTTTGTTTCCCATAGGTATTCAGAGACTTTTGGTATAACATAAAAGTCAAGTATATAGGCCTGGATATAAATGAGCTGACTCTGACACACACCTGCTGTGTGACCTTGAGCAGGTTACTCAACCTCTCTGAGGAAAAGTAGGACCCATCATATGGGGTATGGTGTGAGGATCAAGTGGGGTAATGAATGCAAAGGGCTGGGTGCCCTTGGCACATGCTAAGTCCTCACGAAGTGATAGTCATTGGCTGTCTGCAAAGGGAACTTTCATTCTTTAGCCTCTGGGAAAATCTTTCCCCTCTGACATTTCCTCTAAAAATAACATTTCATGTTCCTCCTGTGACCAAGAGGCTCCTCCTTTCTCACCCTCATTCCTTCTGAGTGGCTGGTTGGATGACTGTAAAGTGAGGAAGAAAAGAGTTCACACTGAAAAGCCCCACCCACTCCCAGTGCCTGAGGGTTGTGGGGGGTGTTACCGCCCGCAGGCGCTGAAGCCTGGGACTGCGTGGGTCTAGCCGGCGCGGATGTGGGCACGGTGCACAGCTGACCCGGGCAGCTGGAAACTGTTTGCTAACAGGCCGGGGAGCAGCAGATGCAAAGTGAGGGCTCCTGTTTGCACAGGCCATCTCTATGGCAACAGGAAAGTCAATAGGCAGGACATTCCTTAGAAAACCCTTCTGGCCCCACCCTGCGCTTCAGGTGAGGGAAGCGGTCCCACACTGAGCAATAAGCAGATCCTCAAAGGCCAGAACTTTAGTAGAAAAAGCCAGAAAGAGCCCGGCGCGGTGGTGCGTGCCTATAGTCCCAGCTACTAGGGAGGCTGAGGCTGGAGGATCGCTTGAGCCCAGAAGTTCCGGGCTGTAGTGCGCTATGCTGATCGGGTGTCGGCAGTAAGTTCGGCACCAATATGGTGACCTCCCGGGAGCGAGGGACCACCGGCTTGCCTAAGGAGGAGTGAACTGGCCCAGGTTGGAAACGGAGCAGGTCAAAATTCCCGTGCTGATCAGTAGTGGGATCGTGCCTGTGAATAGACCCTGTCTGTTAAAAAAAAAAAAAAAAAAAAAAATCTGGGCCCAAAATACACAAATATTTTGAACAAACATACAGCTTATTCCCAGACTGTTTTAAAAAAAAAAAAAGTTTGTTTCTGAAATGTACAGGTAATTTGACCAAGGTGTGTGTATTGGTTAATTTGTGGAAACTAAACCAATGATCATGATTCCCAGCTGAGGATGGGGAAGCACACTGCTTAGCAGAAGAGCAGAGGCGATGGAGGGGCAGGAAATCATGCCTTGTTCATTACAGAGCTGACGCAGGGTCGGCCTTCCACTGCAAGACAGTAAACTATGCAGTGGAATCTGCAGGACAGAGAGATAATGTTCTAATTATTAATACAAAAAAAAAAAAAAAAAAAAAAAAAGAACCACCTCCTCCAATGACCTGGCCATAGGGCCTAAAGTTCCCATCTTGTTCACTCCTTCAAGTAAGTCACTGATGGCCTTCAGTTCAAAAGTCAATGCTACCGGGAAATTAACTATTAGCAGCTGTTATACCAACACTCGATTAATTTCTCAGAAAGCACCTTGAAGCAGGGCTTTGAAGGACTGAGCCACAGGACAGGTAAGTTTTGTACAGGAAAAAAATTGACAGAGTGTGCAGGATGTGGCTCAGGGGGCAGGCCTCAGCAGGTACCACAGTGGGAGCCAGGAATCTTAAAGACACTGGGTGCCCAGCAAAAGTCAGGAGGATGGAAGATGGGAGGAGGGAAAGATTGAAAAAGTAATCAAGACCAGCTTCATAACTGGCCTAGAATTTACCTCTGTTATGCCTAAAAATTCTGGTCATCATAATATCAGAGTAACCCTGTGCTCATTTGGTCTTTTTTTTTTTTTTTCCTCTGTCATCAGGGCTGGAGTGCAGTGGTGTGATCTCAGTTCACTGCAATCTCTGCCTCCCAGGTTCCAGCGATTCTTGTGCCTCAGCCTCCCAAGTAGCTGGGATTACGGGTGTGCACCACCACACCCAGCTAATTTTTGTATTTTAGTAGAGACAGGGTTTTGCCATGATGACCAGGCCGGTCTTGAACTCAAGTGATTCGCCTGCCTCGGCCTCCCAAAGTGCTGGCATTACTGGCATAAACCAGCACACCTGGCCTCATTTGGTTTTTATACTCAGCAGGCATCAACACCAAGTATAACATAGCTCAGCGTGACTCATGGAGCCCCTGAACCTTAGAAGGACCCTCTTAGAACAGGACACATTGTATTTTCTTTATTCAGAATTATGCCTGTCATAGGTTCACAAAAATATGAAAATGTCCAGGTTCAGATGGACTGCCCATGAACTCTATCTCTAGAAATGCACACAAATACCTGAAATGAGTGTTAGGGAGAGCCTTAGGGTGGGGGCTTGTCCTTTCCCATCACTGCTGTCCTCTGAGGGCTGCACTGTGTTTTCAATCTGTTTACAATAAATATATAATGGTCTCCCAGTATTGTTTTCCTGCTTCCTAACTGGTTCCTGCCTCCAGTCTCTACACAAAAAGCCCAAGTGATCCTTTTAAAACATGTCAGATCATAAGCAAAACTTTTAACAGATTCCTATTCCACTTAGGATGAAATCCAAAGCCCATGCCTCAGCCCACAAAGCTGCACACATTGTGGTCTCTCTGACCTCACCAACTTCCCACAGTCCCACTGCTCCCTGTGCCCCAACCTGACTGGCCTCCTCACATTCTCCAGCACCCCAAGTGCACTCCTGCCTCAGGACCTTTGCACATGCTCTTCCCTGCCTGGGATATTCCTTCTCTCTACTCCCCAACCCCCCAGAGAACTGCATGGTTCAGTTCTTCATTATATTAGGTTGGTGAAAAACCACAATTACTTTTGCAATTATATTTACGTCTCTGCTCACTTGTCACCTTATCACCACCTCACATAAAACTGGATCTCCCTTCCTTGCTACCCTTGACTACTTTCCCTTTTCCTCTGATTTTCTTTTCTTTTTGAGATAGGGTCATGCTCTGTTTCCCAGGCTGGAGCGCAGTCATGAGATCTCAGCTCACCACAACCTCCACCTCCTAGGTTCAAGCTATTCTCCTGCCTCAGCCTCCTGAGTAGCTGGGACTACAGGCAAGCACCACCATGCCCAGCTTATTTTTGTATTTTTAGTAGAGACAGGGTTTCATTATGTTGGCCAGACTGGTCTCGAACTCCTGACCTCATGATCCACCTGCCTCAGTCTCCCAGAGTGCTGGGATTACAGGCACAAGTCACCATGCCCCACCCTGATTTACTATTCTTCATGGGATACAACGGTTTCTTCTTTAGTCACATCACTTCATGGTACCTGACACATTATATACATATTTTTTAGTGTATTTGTTTATTTTATGACTTTCTCAAAGTATTGAAACGTTCAAGAAAGCAAGGACTTTAAACCATAGATGAGAGTTTTGAGGCCAGCCCATTGCCACGCTAAAATAAATAAGGCACAAAATGAGGAAGGCCTCAACCAGGCTGGTGGCTGTGGGCCTGGGGAAGAAACACATACACAAGCAGCGACCATGGAAAGGAAGAAAACATGATCTGGCGACAGACTGGATAAGACATAAGAAGGGGCCAGGCATGGTGGCTCACGCCTGTAATCCCAGCAGTATGGGAGGCCAAGGTGGGAGGTCACCTGAGGTCAGGAGTTCGAGACCAGCCTGGCCAGCCAACGTGGTAAAACCCTGTCTCTCCTAAAAATATAAAAATTAGCTGGGTGTGGTGGTACGTGCCTGTAATCCCAGCTACTCAGGAGGCAGAGGCAGGAGAGTCACTTGAACCCGGGAGGCCAAGGTTGCGGTGAGCCAAGATCATGCCATTGCACTCCAGAAGAGCGAAACTCAATCTCAGAAAAAAGAAAGGAAGGAAGGAAGGAAGGAAGGAAGAAAAAAAAAATATGCATCAGTCACAGGGGCATTGGTCAGCAATGGAGAATGGTAAAAAGGATCTCATCAAAGGCAAATATGGGAGTGCCTATCAAAGCACTGTCCAGGGAGTAGATATCTGTGCAGACTCTCTTAGTCTGATGCCATTAAGCAGAAGACCCCAATAACTGGAGTGACCATCTAATTTACTGCACCCCCGTAATCCCAGCACTTTAGGAGGCTGAGGTGGATGGATCAGTTGAGGCCAAGAGTTCAAGACCAGCCTGGTCAACATGGTGAAGCCCCGTTTCTACTAAAAAACACAAAAATTAGCTGGGTGTGGTGGTGCATGCCTGCAATTCCAGCTACTCAAGAGGCCGAGGCACAAGAACCCAGGAGGCAGAGGTTGCAGTGGGCCGAGATTGCACCACTGCACTCCAGCCTGGGTGACAGAGTGAGGCTCTGTCTCTAATAATAATAATTTACCGTCCAAACCAAGCCATGTTGACAGCAAAAGAGGCGTTATTCATCATTGTGCTAGGACAGTAAACCAGGACTGTCCCAAGAAATCAGGGCATGTGACTACCCCACCTCAACTCATTCATACTAATTTTTTACTCTCATTACAGCCTTCGGATTATACCAGATGCACCTAAGACATACATTTAAAAACGTACTAACATTACTGAAAACTGAAATGCTTCTTACAATTGATGTAGGCATTAAATATCAGGAGTCTTTTTTGGGGGGTGGGGAACCAAACCTGTTATTAACTTAATAGTATATCTTATAAACAATAACATCTTGTAAGCAAGGATACAAAGTAATTTGGTTTCCCGTGTGGTATGACTTAAAGGAAAATTCATGGATTGGAGGGTAGAAATGCCCTCTCACTAGGCAACTGATTTCCACCAGAAGGAAAATAAGTAGGTATTTTGGTTTTAAACATCAGTCTCAGCCAGGCATGGTAGCTCATGCCTGTAATCCCAGCACTTTGGGAGGCCAAAGTGGGCGGATCGCCCGAGGTCAGGAGTTCAAGACCAGCCTGGTCAACATGGTGAAACCCCGTCTTTACTAAAAATACAACAGTTAGCTGAGCGTGGTGGCACATGCCTATAATCCCAGCTACTGGGGCGGCTGAGGCAGGAGAATTGCTTGAACCTGGGAGGTAGAGGTTGCAGTGAGCCAAGATTGTGCCACTGCACTCTAGCCTGGGCAACAGAGCGAGACTCCATCTCAAAAAAAAAAAAAAAAAAAAAAAAAAACAAACAATAGCATTAGTCTCTTGTGAACTTGGTTAGCTTGAATTGGTAACATAAGGCTGGGTCTAAGTCTATAAGGCCAAAGTCCAGATCCTGGCCTAGGGTGAATTTATTAATACTAAGGTCATTCTGTCCCACAGGGACCTGTTTGAGAAGTCCCCCACCTTTACCCGGAGGACAATCCTTGGTGTCATCACAGGCACCACCGTGACCCTTCCCCTTGTGAAAAGAAAGAGGCAGTAGGTCCAGGAGTCTGGTTTAGGTCTGTTGGGATTAAAAGGCGAAGGAGACATTGAGATGGAAATGGGGCTGGAAGTAAAACTTGAATGAGATGTGCATGGGCCACAGAAGAAGAAGCTATTTGGGTTGTATCCAGTATTGCTACAGTTCAGATAAACTACCAGAGGTAGGAAATGTCATTAAAGAAGTTGCAGGCATGTGAACAGGCTTCACTCTGAGCAAGTTTGATAGACTAGGGGTGGCTCGGTGTTTGCAGCCTTTCGGGAAAAAGTGCTGAGATGGATAAGCCACGTCTGCTATTGGCTCAGAAAGGAGGGGAACATGGAATTAAAGCACATTTATATTGGAAGTATTCTATGTAATACATTATTAAAGATGTGTCTCTTCAACAA